CTTCCCGAGTACGTTGCCGTAGTTGCTGTGTGCAATTTGTGAAACGACTAGAAACTGCATTCGCTATTGTATTCGAGTGTTTTTAACTGAATTTTAGAAACAGCACACTAGTGTACTTTTCAGTGGCTGACAAAAGGTAACTTCGGGTATATCGTCAAATTCTTCAGAGTTACAATTGAAACCACGTCCAATTTATTTAAATAAAAGACTTTGACTGTTTAAAACTCGAATTGGTTAAACTTATTTAGAATATATTTTAAATTTGGCCCAAGCTCCGTGACCAAGGTTTTTGCAAAACATCCGAAACGTCGGGCTTAAAATTTAACAAATATGTTTTGCCGTTTTAAACCGTTAAACTGTTATATTTATTTTAATTTAAATGCGTACTACTCGCGTTGACACTTTCAATTAAAATTTCGTTGTAATATAACATGTTTCAGCTTATTATTGAGCTTGTAAATTATCGGTTCGAATCATGTTTTATTACCAAAGGCGCAAATTTGCAACACCGTCCTATGACTATTAAATATGATATAGGTGAATCTAAAATGAAAAAGGTTAAAGTTTAAAATGAAACGGCGTGTTATGAAATTTGCAGAATTCGCAAGCCTCAACAAGCATTTCCATATTGAAAATAGTTCTCAAGTATGCGAGGAAAATGTTCACATGGCTTGCACGTTTCTTTGTTACTTTAAACGGCTAAGCCAGTCGCCAGGCACTGTTTACCGTGTGGGCCTAGCTAGGCTTACAGTAAAGCCTTCGCTTATATTATTGCAAAGTACATGAGCCTAGTATGATAAATGCTTTAAATATATAAACTCAAAACACAGTACATATATTAACTAACCACTATTTTTAATATAAAGTTTTTAAGGCTAGGCTCGCTAGGGTAATAATCAACATAAGAATGGTCGTAGGTTTGATCTCCAGCGGGACTAACATGCTTCTTATCAAGTCTTTTTATATACACATAGGCTCAATTAAGGGGGCTGTAAGGGTGTCCTTATTCTGAAAGTCAAATCTGCTACATAGTGTTTTCTTTAAACGTGTACTACTTGCGTAAACTACAGACAATATATAAAAGGTACTGTCTGTAGTTTTCGCGAGCACTTTCAAAGTTAAAGTCATGTCAAAATTTAAATAAAACACTTTAACGGTTTAAAACGCGATATATTATTAAACTTATTTGAAAATGATTTTTAACTTCGGCCCGACGTTTCGGATGCTTTGCAGCAGCCGTGGTCACGGTGAGACGAAGTTAAAAATCATTTTCAAATAAGTTTAACTAATATATCGGTTTTAAACCGTTAAAGTGTTTTATTAAATGTTACTACTCGCGTAAACTATAGACAGCATGTCAAAATTATTTATTCATGTAGGTAACTAGGTGAACGTATGAACGTCATAAACTAAAGAATCTTACTTTACATTTACTAACAGTTCTCAAATCAAATGACAATAAACATTTTATGGTTTAAAACGCGATTTATATTAGTTAAACTTATCAAACGTCGGGCCGTAGTGAAAACAAAATTTCAAAGAAGTTTAACTAATATATATCGCGTTTTAAACCGTTAAAGTGTTTTATTATAATATGTTAGCCTATTTATTTACAAACGGAAACAATAACTCAAAAGTATATATTTTATGTATACATGATACATAATTCGACCTTAAGAATAGGTCGCTCTATAAACGGAAGCCATTGATGTCGAGAGAAGACATCGACTATGTAATCTCGACATATATGTTGATATATAAAACCATCCGGTGCCCTCCGTTCCGCCGCTTAGGCGGGCATTGGAGCGAAGCCTCCAAAAATGGATAAAGGTTACCCATACGACCGCTTCGCACGAACCCCTCACTGATTTTGTGTAATAATACTACCTTATACAAATGATAATTATTGAAAACACTTTACCGGTTAAAAACGCGATGTATATTAGTTAAACGTATTTGAAAATTATTTTACTCGCCCGAAATTTCGGATGCTTTGCAGCAACCGTGGTCACGGGAAGACTTCACTTAAACGTCGGGCCGTAGTTAAAATAAATTTTAAATAAGTTTATCTAATACATATCACGTTTTAAACCGCTACAAGCTAGGCTTTAGCATAAATACAGGTGTTTGCAAAACAAAAAGTGAATGAAAATATATTTTAATTTGACTGCTTACAATACAATACATTTATAATTTTTTTCGTTCATTCGATTGACGTAGAAGTACTACTTAAATTATATGTGGCACCGCTGTCCACACTCTAAGGACTTACTGAAAATCAGCTTCAGGTCAACAAAAGGCCTGATAGAAACTGAGGAAGATCCTATTCTACTAGCAGCACACAACATTATCCTATTATGTTATATTAAGTTATACAAAATTGTTAAGACAAAATTATGTTTTTTTTTATGTTTAGTAATAAGTGTAACATGTTCCTTTCTGTGCCCTAGTAGTAAATATTTTTTTCTTTCTTTCTTTTTCTTATGTTTCACATTTTATATTATTTAATATAATAAAATAAAATCTTTACTATCTATTTATTTTTACTTATATAAGGATCAGAAAGTCACAGGTTAAGAAGTCCTTTTTAAATCAACGTGATCTTTCCAAGAAATAATATGAAACTTGAAGTTACAGTGACCGTACGCGCCTTTGGGACTTCAAACTTCTAATAGGATACCCAAATTAGTTTCAATATTTTATACATACATACCTTACCAAGTAACGTTAGAATGCACAATATATAGATTCATTTTGCATCTGACTTTAACAATTTTTATTTATTCTACATTTTACATTGCTTATTCTCCTAGTCCTAATAGCCCCATTGTATCCCAAGCCAAAAATACTTTAATAGAAATTAATACTATATTGTAAAACCGAACACTTTTAATTTGAAAAAATAAAGATAGAAGTTAAGACTTATTTTTAACAAAATTATTATATCTAAATTCCTTCCTTGCAAATATCATAAATATTGTAATACAATAGTAACCTTAATTCCACTTCACTTACCGTGATCACTGAACTGACAAAATTATCGTCGTCAAACAAATAACTACCTTATCTCACTGAGTAACGACTTACAGTACAATCGCAGATATGTATTCGTAAATCGATAGATTTTATATTTTTTAAATTGTGGTCTATGATGAGTTGCGGTCCGTAAAATGAGGGTATTTTGAAAGGTTGAGATGGAATAAGGTACTTTCATTTTGATTCTGATATTTTATATGTAGATTTATTGGATTTTATTTACGCTTTTGATGTCAAAGATTTTGATATTAAGAGCTAAATATTAAAAGTTACTAGGTGTCGGCTTTTGAAAATAATCGTTAAGCATCTTCTATTAGATTTCGGCTTTGAATCCCGGGAAATCCCAGGACGCAGAATTCTAAACAATTTGCGTGAAATGGACATAGAAATTTCTTCGCCTTATACTCTTGAGGGATAAACGGGAATTAAGTTTTAGAAAAGTGTTTTAATATTTATGTTGTCTTAAAAATAAACCGTACATCGACTTGATATAACAAATATAACAATGAAAAACTTATTATTCCGAAAATTTCTCTGAAGCCAGATTACAGGGTACAATAAATAAAGGCCCAATATTTATGTCCCTACTGTTAAAATATAAACTGCGCTAGAAATCAAGTCACGTTCAACTGGACAAGGGTAACGTCTCAACAGCTCAAGAGAATTTGAAAAACAGCACGTGATTTGTAACTATTCTTAACTCGAATCGTTTTACGTGACGTAAACTCGAATGGTCGGACGTAAATTCTAAAAAATAATCCTTTTGATATTTGTTTTTCTTTGATAAAATAGATTTTATAGAAACAAAACACTTTCGGCGGTTTTAAAAGACGTGGTGGTAACCAGAGCTGCTGCAAAGCCCATAAAACTTCGGGCCGTAATTGAAATAAATTGTAAATAGCATTAAATAATAAATTTCGCAATTAAAACCGTTAAAAGAATTTTATTTAAGTATCTACTACTCGCGTAAATTACAGACGGTACTTGTAAATATGAACATTAAAACTGAAAGTCAGTTAGTGCTAGGGACAAATTGATATTCGCTATTTTATATCTAAATAAATAAATGTGATTAAAAATTTAACATTTCTTGCTTTTAAAGCACTTTTCAAACAATTATTTTATTAAATAATTATGCAGGAGCATAGCCAAGCCATCTATCAAAAAATCCCATGTTTACTTAATGGTGGAATACCCCACATATTTAATATCTCGATACGAGGCGCTATCGACCGATTTTGGCTTTGGATATTCGGAAATACAAACCTAACCAACGCGCAATCAACGGATTGAATCCGTGACTCGTTGATTATTAGTTAGTATTATGCTACAATTTCACCAACATTTGCTAAACACGTCATAATTTTTAGCAAATTGATAGATATTATTTTTTTCTACTTTAAGTCTAATGCCCGCTTGTGGACTTTAATGGACATTCCTATTTTCAAATATACAACATTTCAGTAACAAGATAACACATTTCAGATGAAATAAGGCCACAAACGTATGGACATCGACGAGAGACCGGGGCCGGACGCGCTCATGTATGCCCAGCCTTATCTGCGTGTAGTACCTACAGCATGTGCCTTATCTAGCACGGTTAGTTGCATTTTAGAGCCTAATATTCAAACGTCACTAGATCGAACCCGCAACCCTAATATCATTAGCCAAATTTAATAAATGTTATTGTAATTGTTTACACCAAAGAGCCTATCATTGAACCTCTGTTTTATTATTCCAGTGTCTCGTTTCTATTCTGTTATATTCTATAAACAAAGATTTGACATATTGATTTAGAATAATTTAATAGATTCAATATGATAAACATAGAAAACAATTAATTTGTTTTTGTTGGTTAAAAATGTCATATAAAATTGCTGCCTATTGCCTTGTTAAACCAGATGCAGTAGCAAAATTGAGTTCGCTGAACAAAGACAATAATACCAGCCCAGCGAGTGATAAAAATGAATGCCACGGAACCGAACCTTGATCTCAACAGATCCACGCCCATATACACAATTGGTACTAACTTCATTACTCAATGGTAAGTGCTATTCAATACCTTGTACATAACCGTAACTATAGTAGCATAGCAAAAAAATAACTATTGATGGCTTTGCTTTGAATCCCGGGGATACATTGGCATATTTTTTTATGTATATTTTCTCATATATTTTTTTTTATTGTAAACATATTGTTTAATAAGTCGGATTATATCTCAGTCTTCAATCATTCATTATGGTATTTGCATGTACCTTAAATGCCTTGTTGTCTAAGACTTATTCTGGGTTCGAATCGTGCATACATTATTTATGTTAAAACACGAAAACACTATAAAACTAGTCTTATGAAGAAAATTCGCGGTTCGTAGCGCCTGTAGAGTGCAATATGTTTATAATTCAATCAATCAAAATATGACTAGCTCCTTGTATTTGTCTTTGACTTGATTAGTCTTCAAGAGATCCTGGGTTCAAATTCCAGGAAAACAATAAATAAATTAAAAATCGATTTTAAATTTTAAAAAAAGATTCCGTGCCGTGTTGCTCTAACCCTGTGTGTGGATTGTGAAAAGTGCTCTAACTCAGTGGATGCCATTTCAAGTCCTGTCCGTAAATGTTTTAGTAACCATTAAGGTTTTTAAAACAGGAAATATATTTTGTCTGCTAGAGTACAAAAGTCTAAACAACAACTTGCCTGTAAATAAAACCGAGCCGTGAAACAGACACATCAATACTATGCTCACCCAACACCCAACGGTGTAAACGGGTTTTCATTTATTTTGTATTTATCTGTAAACTGAGTAAAACATACAAGTCTGTCGCATCCGAAAATGAGGGAAGTGCATTTGATGTCAATCTACACTATGCAACGATCGCAATACATTTTTGATGAAGTAATTTCCTCTTTCCAGCGAATTTTGAGCAACATTCACCTTAAAATCTAGTTTTCTTTTGATGAACGTAATGTGATTTTTGGAACAAAAACGTTCGTTTGTGATTTTTATGAATCGCAGCAATTTCGTAATTCTTATAAAGTGAAGACCCGTTTCAACTCATGGGGCATAGGACGAACACTATTCGGTATCCGTTTCACTAAACGGTTCTATTTACAAACATGTTATTTAAATAAAACACTGTAACGGTTTAAAACGCAATATATATTAGTTAAACTGATTAGAAAATTATTTTTAACTTTAAATTGCCACGTTTAAATTAGACAATTACATTAACTAATTTTGCCTTTAAAGTTTACTTCGAACTGTCTACAAGCATAGAATAATTGACTTCTTAAAATTTCTTCTTTATACATTACATTAGTAAGTTACTTTTGAACGACAAAATAGCTTTACCGATTTTGGTGTATATTTGTGCAATTGAGCTGATTTAGAATATATATTTCAATAGGAAACTCCACAAGCTGAAGCAGAGAACCTGTATATCCAGCTACCCTGATTGCCAGGACTTCAACATCACCAATTACACAGATGTTTTCTTCTTCAACACCACCATCGAGGATGTCGTCAGTGACCAAGTGGTGAGAATCATTTAATAAGACGCTGGGGTAGTGGTAGCAATGTGTGATCAACGGGTCGTGGGTTCGATCACCACCCAGTCTAAAATTTTTCTAATCAATTAATAATTTTTCTGGGCCACGTTGGATTTCGTCTGGAAATGATTATATCATTTGTCCACGACAAAGGAAAAAGCCGTCAAATCTGTGGATTTTTTGATATCCAAAGCCGAAATAAGTCGACAGTGCATCTTTTTTTAATACAATATGGCTTGGGTATATCACCAACCATCAAGTAAGCCCTGTCTACCCTACCTACCTGCAGGTTCTGTCTCACATTTACAAAACTTTGCTTGGTCATATGAAACCTAAATTAAATACAATGAAAACTTACGCTAAAATACTTTTACCTATTGGCTCCTTTAAAAAAAAACTCAATTTTTAAGATACGGAACCCATTGTTTACGAATCCGATTCGCTAGTAGTCGTTTTATATGTCATGGTTTTAAAACGAACTGAAGACTTCTAGTTTTAAATGCTAATTCAGATTTTTTATCTCATACAATTTGAATCTAGTTAAATACTGCTTGCAACTATTGTACTGTATATTTAAAGAAAACGTAAATAGTACATTTAAGTAAAACACTTTAACACTTCAAAGCGCATATAATATCAATTGTTGTTTTATTATTATTTTTAGTACGACCCGGTGTATCAGATGCTTTGCAACACCTGCAGTCACGGGGGGACAGTTAATTGTATTTACTAATACATTTCGAGATTTTAACCATTAAAAGTGTGCTAACTTGGCCGATGGTTGTACCAAACAATTGACTGAAACATTCAGCCGTATCGCAGTCGTAAAAGTCCGTAATCCAAACGTAAGTTTGGGTTTATTGCTGGAATTATACTAAAACGGTAACCTAATTGCTTTTTAAAGACTCAGATTGTTAATGGAAGATAAAGGAAGACGGTCATCTGAGTAATCAGCTAAAGTGATCATAATATAGCCATGAGTATAATTAGGTATTGTCTGTAGTCTACAAGGGTAGTGCACATTTAAATGAAATACTTTTAACGGTTTAAAACGCGTAATACATTGGTTCACATATTTCAAATTTAATTCTAACTTTGGCCCGAGGTGTTCCGTGCCCAAGACTGCTCTAGAGCATCCGAAACGTCTGGTCGTTATTATAAAATATAAGATGCGTATTTTTTTTGTTATCTTATCTTTGTAACATATGGCTTGTTTGTAAGTTTCACGCCGCTAGCCGTTAAAAGTTTTTATTACCATATGATTATTAGGTTAGACCTTACTTTAATGGTTAAATAAGTTCTTTAGCTTTTAAATAAAACACTTTAACGGTTTAAAACGCGATATATTAGTTAAACTTATTTGAAAATGACCCCGAGTCCACGAGTGAGTCTCCCCGTGACCACGGCTGCTGCAAAGCATCCGAAACGTCGGGCCGAAGTTAAAAATCATTTTCAAATAAGTTTAACTAATATATCGCGTTTTAAACCGTTAAAGTGTTTTATTTAAATGTGTACCACTCGCGTAAACTATAGACGGTATTTAGTTCTTTAGCTATTTACGGCGGTATTTAACAATTAACATTGAAATATATTGACACAACGTCGGAATAAGATTGTCTAATCATTGAAACGGACACAGCTTTGCATTCTCCTTCCCCCCCCTCCCCCCTTAAAGAGATGAGTTTCACATAGGGTATACATTTAATATGTATCATATTTCAAAAGTAAAAATCCTTCTTAAATTGCGTTTCATTAATTTCTGCGTTCAGTTTGTTTTGTAATCTTATCCTTTGTATCGGCTTTCCGTGGATCTAAGCAATGAACAAGACAAACAATAGGAAATACGTAGCTGCAAATTGTTAAGTCGTTTTGTTTTAGTTTAAATCATTTTTGACATTGCTTTCATTATGGTTACGACCTTTGGATCCCGCCGTTTGGACAACGCACCTGTAACTTTGTGTGAAAGTGTGTGTGATGTGTTGCTGAAACTCTTTCTAAAAAATCTAGACATTATTTGGGTGCAAGATATTAAAAAAGGAAGTATTCAAGTCAGGGTTTGTTGGGTGTGGTGTCATTTATTTTTATATAAATAAGATCAAGGAGAAGACATAAATAACCATCCATTTAATAATGTAAATTTCCAGACGAAATTCAAGAAGTTTCGGAGACATTAAAAATTGTATACAAACATGTTTGACCCGGTGGGAATTGAATCCACGACCCGATAATTGTTAGTCATACATTGCCACTATAAGACCAACGTGAACGTTCAATATTCAATGTACAAAGCCAAAATTAGGTGTTCCAGCGCATCATCAGTTATATGGCTTTTCTTTCAATCAAGTGAATCCTGTGCTTGTCTGTCCTTCTCTGGCTTAAAAAAGTAATAATAATTTCCGACGTTACGCTGAATTGTGGTTTTCGGGTTCAAATCTAAGGGCAGCCCTTATCCATTTAATCCCCTCATTTCCTGTCTAAATTGTTCCCACTGCCTCGCTACGACCTAATTTCGAATAACACAGTATTACTCCATTTGGATTCGTACTTTTCAACATTTACATTGACAGGGGTAGGATACGAAAAATAGATACAGGTAAAATATACCGGAGAAACTGAAAAACAGAAAACACTAAAATATTTTTGTATTTGACAATACAAAAACAACATGGGAATGTCAGTATAATTTACATTTCAATATGAGAAAAACTTAACTTGACTTAAAAATCTATTCGGATTGAAAAAAAATACTTCAAAACTTTCGATGTTAATAAATTTTTGATTTACATAATTCCATCATATGCAATGACATGTGAAAGATATTCAAGCTCTGAAACTAAACTTAAAATTCGTGAATACTTCATGTCTATTATATAATATATCATGATTAATTATACATACAGTTTAAATTAAGCATTTTTTTATTTTTGGCTTATAACGAAACAGAACAACAAAAAAACATAGGAACTGACTAAATAAAGTTTTAACGGTTTTAAATATAAATAAATTCGAATTTTTAAACTACAACCGATGTTTCGGTTGCTTTGCAACAGCCATGGTCACGGGGTCGTGTTTTTAACCGTTAAAAGTGTTTTATATAATGTGTACTATGCGCATTAACAAACATTGTCCAAAGGGATTTGCAGTGAATTATAGAGGGAGGTGAAACCAGGTAATCGATGTATCGCCATGTCAGGGCTAAACCCTTTGCATCGTTATTTCTATCGATTCCGCTTTTGCACGAACTTCGCAATGGTGCTTTGTGTGTTATCTTTGTGCATGCAATGAAATTTAATTATTCTATTTATTAAACAGTCCATAGTGAAAATTACAATATGATTATTATGCCTTAATTTTTAAGAGCAAACAAACCGGGGACATTGTACCCGAGGAGCTTATGTTAGTTTATAGTGCCTTCATAAATAATACCTTATGTACACAAAATGTTTTATAACAAAAACTTTATATAACGAAATTTTTTCTTCTAAGACCTTTTTTAATTTTGTCTGCTTCGGTTTTTTATCTTAAGTATTAAAGATAATACTTTTGAAATTTTAATTTACACAATCTATAGCTTACTACGACACATTTCCTAAAGTAGGGCTTATATTAATTAAATATTATTAATATCTGCTCTCACTTGAAAAGGGTTTAAAAACGAAATTCCAAAATCACGTCGCAGAGAGCTCTATTTGAAATAGCGGAATTTATAGGATGGTATCGAAATTGTTGTTTCCTAAACGTGCCGAGTCCAATAGAGTTGTCAGATAAAATAAAACGACAAAACCAATCGGGGTTTCTAACGATGGAAAATAAAACTTTAAAGCCGTTCAAAACGAAACAGCTGTTCGGAAACGATTCTGTGCCTTATCCCGCATACCTGTGTAAATAATCTGAGCTTACGGGATTTTCAGCGCATTGCAAATGTTATCTCTAAACGCTCTACATACTAAACGTGTTATTTCAAACAGAGCTATAATAGTACAAACAATTTATAAAGCCAAATATATGTGCTTTGGGTTTTTTTTATTTACCGGAGTGAATTAAATACTATTTGTAATTCTATATATATGCAATTATAACAATTCTAAGATATTATATAACATATTTGATATATACAAGTGGTTCTACCATAATACATCGTACTTAGATACAAGTAGTTCTTCTGCATTCTTTACGATCTTTATTATTTAAATAAAACACTTTAACGGCTTAAAACGCGATATATATTAGTTAAACTTATTTAGAAATTATTTAACTACGGCCTAACGTTTCTTTGCAGCAGCTATAGTGACGGGAAGACTTAGATCTTTCTTAATATAAAAAATGTTTATTAGAACAAAATCTGAGACGATTTGAGGACTTAAAGAAGTGCCAAAAAACAGGACGCTTAAGTCAGAATAACCTTAGTTCCTTTACAGCAACCAGTGCTACCACCGTTTCCGCTGTGGCTGGCGGCAATCATAGCGACGTGTCTCGTCCTCGTCATCTTGCTTACGGTCAGCGGCAATGTCCTGGTGTTACTGGCCTTCTTGGTCGATAGAACCATTCGTCAACCCAGCAATTACTTCATCGCTTCTCTGGCTGCTACGGATCTCTTGATAGGTACGTAAATCCTAGTTTGACATTTGTTCATAATTAATGCGTGGGTAATTACATTTTCTATATAAGTTTAAAAAAATATAAAAAAGTCACATAGTTCCACTAATATATTGTGTAAGATATTAAAATATAATAATATACTTAGATTTTATTCACTTATTTTTTATTTAATGTTTTTATTGTTGTGTAATAACCAATAGTTAATCCGATCTTTAAAAAAGTAAATAGGCCCTGTGCATAATAATTTTTGTTGACATTTTATTTTTTAGCCTATAAAAATGATATTAACACTATCGTATAGTGTTACTAAAATTATTTGCAATAACATGTGAAAACCATAACACATTAAAGAAAATACATATAATTCATTTTATACCCATCGCGATGCAAAAAAACAATATTATCTTCATGTCAGTTGCACAACTTCACTGTCTATTGTCCGGAGATACATTTCAAATAGATTGAGTTCGTATTTTTTGCCTCCTTTAATACTCGAAGCTGCATCTTGCTATCAAGTCATCCATTAAACGTCAGCTCAAAGTAATCCATTACTATTATGTTTGACGCTCAAGTTGCATACTACGCCAGTCGCTTTAATTAGTCGTTGAGCAAAAACAAATAATATTCTTGCATCAAAATAATTTCGCAACTTTTCTCGCTATCTCGACGTTTGCAGCACAAAACTTTAATTAACATACTTTTACTAACAATACGACTATTATTCCGGTAATTAATTTGAAATTCGAATCGATGTTAGTTCGTCGAATTAATCTTTACATTTGGCAATTGAATTAAATGAATTTTCTTTGTCATCAGGTACATTGTCTATGCCCTTCTACACCGACTACGTACTGAAAGGTTACTGGCATTTAGGACCATTGTTATGTGACCTTTGGTTGTCCGTCGACTACACTGTATGCCTTGTATCACAATACACGGTCCTATTAATAACGGTCGATAGGTTCTGCAGCGTGAAAATAGCTGCAAGATATCGAGCGTGGAGAACAAAGAACCGGGTTATATGGATGGTCACCGTCACTTGGATAATACCAGCGCTGCTATTCTTCACCACCATATTTGGGTGGGAGCACTTCGTCGGTTACAGGGACTTGCAAGAGGGAGAATGCGCGGTGCAGTTCTTAAAGGACCCAGTATTCAACACAGCTTTAATTATTGCGTATTATTGGACGACACTCATCGTTTTAATCGTTTTGTATGCGGGTATATTTAAAACCGCTTATGACATGCAGAAGAAGAGCGAAGCGAAACAGAGGAAAATGCAATCTATGGTGGCTTTGAGTGCGGGAGTCATGACAGGTATGGCAGGACGTGCCGCCGGCATGGCGACGATTTCAAAAGCTACTGTATCTAGTGAAGACCAGATTAAAGTGTCTGAATCAATCCGCAAGGAATCCACGTCAAAAGGATCTTTGGCTGCACCTTTGACGAATTTAGGCGGCTCTTCCGATTCTAACTCTAGTCAAAAATCATCAGCTCATAAAAGTAGCGCGACGGCGACGGGTACCTCAACCACTGTTGAGTCAGACGGAGACAAGAAAGAGGAACAAGTAGAAGCAGAAAGATCTAGCAGCCCAGCATTTGATTCAGACGATGAAAGCACCACTCAGACGAACGTGAAAAAGCGACCTTCTGTCGCTAATCTTGTCATGCAAACAGGTGCCATGCAGTTACTTAGTAACATGCGCTTAAACGGTGGAATGCTTATGAAGCCGGAATTAAAACCGCAGATGATTAAGCACGAACATGATAAGCCAAAATCGTCGTTGTCACAGATATCAGAGAAAAGTATACTCGAGACTGACAATTTGCCATCGAACCCCGGACAACCAGTAAGTGTGCCACTATCATCCGCTAGCAACATATCGCCTTCATCTTCTGGAGTAGATGCATCATTAGAAAGAGAAGTAACATCGTTCGCGCAAAGAATCATCCCCCCTCCTTCTGAATTCCGCTGTAGCCCCACTATCTCAGAGAGTCCTCCATCTCATTCGGAATCATCTAGATCTAAGGTTTTTAGATTAGTTAAATGTGATGGAAGCGGGTACGACTTCCTTTTAGGTTTGGACGGTGCCGACTTGCGTTACATGGACGAGAGTTCCATCATAGTGCCCACACCGCAGAACGAAAGCCCACCATCTTCTATCACATTTCCGACCGCCACCGACCCTCCGTCCCCTCCCACCTTGAACTCGGCTAATGTAACGAATACTTCCTTATTGCAGGCTGCTCTCATTCGAGCGACAGCTGAAGCGCAGGTAGCACAACCCAAACCAAACCAAACTCCTCCACAGCCCGTTAAAGTAAATACGGAGGTGAGTCTCACAGCTGGCGAATGTCCTAAGCCCGTTATCACCCTTGTGACGTCTTCCAATAATAACGAGCCTCAGACGACAAAACAGAAGGAAACAAAGACTGCTCCTTTGCGACTAAACGCTGCTTTAAGTCCAGCCATTGAGAGTAGTGACGTTTCGAGTCCAGCCGTTAGTGGATCATGTAGGGGCGACTCGCGAAGAGATTTTGTTAAAAGTATAGGCAAAAAGTTTAAAGTCCGGCGCTCAAAACGGGACGGCTTATTCCCTAGCATTGGTCGACAGAAATCGAAGTCGGAAAATAGAGCTAGGAAAGCGTTCAGGACGATATCGTTTATTTTAGGTGCGTTCGTCGTTTGCTGGACTCCATATCATATATTAGCGCTAGTCGAAGGCTTCTGTACAAACCCACCCTGTATAAATCAACATTTGTACATGTTCTCCTATTTTTTGTGCTACGCAAACAGCCCTATAAATCCATTTTGCTACGCGCTGGCTAATCAGCAGTTTAAAAAGACATTTATGAGACTGTTAAAAGGCGACTTTCACATTACGTAATTTTATTCGGAAATTCTCGATTTACTTATGAATAGCAACCAAGTTTCAAAGTTTATGGCCAATTAAGTATTGTTACATAAGAGTTTGTAAGTTGAGGAATGATAAATGTAATCTCTAAGACAATATTAAAATTATAAGTAACTTACGCTTTCGGTGTATAGAGTGTATAAATATACAGTTTTAAGTGTAGAAGAATAGCTTAATTGTAAATAATAATGTATATTATGTTGAAATGGAATAGATATATTGTTCGAAACAGACAATAAATATTGTAAATAAATAAATAAATAGTCTCTTTATATCTCTATAGATTAAGGTTGCATTGTTTGTGCTTTAGGAATTTTGCAGCCTTCGTTGTATCTTTACTCTAAGCTGTATTTTTTAGTTTAATATTAAGGCTGTAAAATTATACAGAACCTACTCCCAAATCAGATATCATTCTCTCTTCCCTACCTTTTTATGACGTCATATCTTTTTACACGTTTTGAAACACGCTCTGTACATTTGTAATCGGTGTAAGAAACGATCTTGTATATTTGTTATAAGTGATGTTTGTTAAAATTTCATCACAGTTCTATCTCTATTAATAAATCTTTAAATAGGTTTATAACGCTTAAAAGCTTTAAGCAGTGAGCCCGGCTAAAGTTTTTTAGCGTTAACAATAGTCAATTATTTTGTAAAACGTTATTATCTTAGATTCAATTAGAAATGTCTTTTTAGTTTCTTCAGATAATAAAATAGATATTATATCACCGTGTTATGAAAGACAAAAGTGAAATTACATTAGAATCATAGATATAGTACAAATAAATGTAATTTGTAATTTAACTATTTCCTTTCTCTTCTTCTCTAGTCTTATGTTTTCAACAGCTATTATAAAACAAAAATACTATAGTAGAATATGAAAAATAGCAACCATTTTCTTTTTCTAACCTTAAATTTTTAAGAAAATTATATAATTTATTTGTGGTTTGAAATAATAAATAACACACAAATGAGCACATTAAATTTGTATTTTTTATGTAAAACCGCGTTTTTTTCTACTTATTGACAAATAGTTTAATATATATATTTTTCTATAAAACTCGACTCCTTAAATCCTTTTATATCCAACAACAAATTCATATTAGGTGATAAAACTTGTACAAGTCAAATTATGTAGCTTAACGTAATTATTGTTCTTATGAAGACGTAGTTATGTATATTTGTTAGACGATGTAAAAATGTTTTGTGTATATCGGTGAAATAAATTAATTCAAGCTAGTGTCTTTTGTTTTTATAAAGAATCTATCAGTTAACCCAGAGAATGAATTTTGTCTATTTTATATCTCCATCCCAGTTACGTAAAACCCGATCATACTATATATGAGGCTGCTAGAGACAGTGTAGCCTAATGATAAAAACATTATTTTCAATAATGAGAAAATTAAAATTCGCAATAAACTTACAAAAACATTATTTTATTATGACGTTGTCATTGAGTCCACAGTTCTAAAAACAGTGTCCCTTCTAACATATCAAATGCTATTATAACTTGGTTTGATAAAGGCTTGAGCCCGGATACGTCAGAACAATGGAAGCGAAAGCAAATATTATATTAAAACTTTATTACAATACATTGATATAACAATTCATGGAAACTAGGCAGTCCTTTTTTCTTATTGATATTATTTAGGCGAAACCACTATTTTTCACCACCACCAGATGAAACGAAAAGATCCCATATAAGAAAGACTTGACAGCCTGCGTTCGTGACATGTACCTGTTCTTGTAATTTTTTAAACTACGTCTCAATATAATTACTTACTACTACTAGATGTAGCGTACAAAAGCAAGTGGAGAAAACGTACATTCAAATAAAGAATATGTCAACAATAACTATTGATATTACTTATAAGATTAGTTTTAACTTCAGCTTTGAGAAATAAGGTTTTTTTTAAGGTTCTTGATGTAATTATTAGATTTTATATTTAACCATAAAATTCAGTCACAAAATAATATGTTCTACCGGGCATTAATTGCTATACAGTATACAAACACGTTAAGAAACAAGGAAAAAGAAATATTCATTATTTAGTAACTAGCACTAAATTAGTTACAATTATTACGTTGACATTTCAGTGGTGCATATATATGGAGACCTCTAAGCACTAGAAATCACAAGTTGGGAGATCGTTTCTATAACTGACAACACACAACACAAAACAACACAACGTTAGCGTTAAAGGTAGGAAAAGTAAGAAAAATAAGATTTGTTTGTTCTTGTGGGTTTTAATTTTTTTTTTTTTAAAATTTGTTTAAAAAAAATATATTTTAAAAAAGGGATATTTCTCTTTAAAACAGATATAGAAAGATATCAAAGAAAAATAAAATTCAGTTTTTTAATTGTATGAAGTAAATTGGTTGATTATAATTAAAGCTTATACTATGTAGTGTCTTTTCTGATCTTCGTGTCTATTCTTTGACCCATTTCGTGCTACGTTATAAGTCTATAAAGGCCATAAGATCTACACTGGTTTATATTCTCTCTACGATTCAGATACGCTTGTCATGAGCGAGGAACAATTGTGATGTGAATCTTCCCAAGTCAAAGCCTTAGGGCGTGTTTTCATAACCAGCTATTTATTGATCCCACTTACATTTGACAATTACAAGCCTTTGTATATAGTTAAGGAAATATTTTTTTAAAAATCGAAAATAAATTGAAAATAAATTCGAATCGGGCTGTTGCTCTGACAGGAACGCTGACGATGCCGGTTCAAGTCATGCCCGAGTCGAAAATATTTCAATTTATTTTAGATTTTTAATTTATATAGTGCCTTCATGTGCACATGAACATAATAACATGTAAAAAGAATAAAGTATTCAAATAATGTTGTATTTATTTTAGTATCAATATTGCAATATAAATCTTTATTTTATAGCCTTTTTAAAAATAATTTAAACTCGGAGGCAAATAATATTGTAAAATGACGATTAACTACTAACCTATAGTATATAGCAAAATTGTATAAGTACATCGCCAACAATAAAAACCATCCTGCCAAGATACGGTTATCTAAGACGTGGACGTAAATATTATATACCTACACTTGTTTCATGATTTAAGCATCGTTGCTTAGTATCAGTAATTATAAATTGAAAAGCGATTTATATTGTCAAGAATTTATAATACGTGTGAATCTCAATCCGGCTACAGCCCTTCGTGCTGTTGCTGCGATGGAGCTATATTAGGTTATAATATATAATACAGCAATAGGTGAAATTAATGCTAAGTATTCTTTGCAAACCACTTGTTTAACTATATGCCTCTTCTTTATTTCTTAATTCTGCGCTTGCAAATTGTCTATAATAAAAATTGTATAAAGCTTTATACAATAAAAAAAAAAACACTTTAATGGTTTAAAACGCGGTATATATTAGTAAAACTTATTTAAAGAATATTTTAACTATGGCCCGAGGTTTCAGATGCTTTGCAGCAGCCTTCGTTACGGAGTTAAATACGGCCCCGTCAGTAGTGAAAATAAGTTTCGCATTTTAAACAGTTGTTGCAATGTGTACTATTCGAGTAGACTACACAGTATTTATACAATTTATTCTTACCGAATTATATAAATCCAATAAACGCCTGTAACTTGCACCAATCCCGTAGCAGTGTTTTCTATGTCACGCGGCACAATGGTGTGATGGGTGTCTATTGTCAACCGCTGTTTAATTTGTTTACTGGATAACATAAGTAGAAAATATATTCTAACAGAGAACAGAATATGCTGTGAAAACTGTGGCTCCTTAATTATATTGCTTATATCATTACCATTATAGTATCGTTATAAAATTCAAACGCCGTTTGATATTTTTTAGCAATAAAAAACATTTGCGGAGCAGTTGGGTTTGGTTATCTACAATCGCTATTGTTGTTTTTTTAAGAATTTTATTTCAATTCCAATATGTATAAAACATATATAGCACAAACTACTTACCTATTCAACAGTAGTATTTGTATCTTTATACAGACAGATACGTGAAAAATATTCCAACTGTTTCGGGGATACGTAAAAGCCAACGAAAATAGAAATTTATTTATTTATTTATTTACAAAATTCCTACCTTAACAGGTTAAACCTAATACGATAGAAAAAAAAAATACAAATACATTAAAATATTAATAATTACATATTACATATGAAGCTACTTTTATGAATTCACCCAGGGAGCAGTTAAATATATCTATAGCCCGATCTGTAGCGTTAAGAATCCTAAGTGCACGCGTCAACGTCGCCTCAGCTAACAAGTTAGTGCGCGCACGAGGAACCACCAGCAATTGCGGACGCTTTCTACGGCTTATATATTCATTTGGCACATATAATGTTAGACGTCCCAAGATATCCGCGTTATGTACCTTTCCTGCCAAAATTTTGACCAAGTACGTTACGAAAGCCAGGTCCCTTCTAACACTGAGCTGATTATATCCCACCATGCCCAAAACAAAGAGTGTGGGATACATGAGCGGGTAAAAAGGATACACGCCATACAGTCTCATATATAAGTAACGAGTAAATTTATTCTGTACTCTTTCCAACATGAGATTGTACTTCGTCTGATATGGGGCCCAGATAATGGCATTTGCTTCAAGGTGGCTTCTGACTAGGGCATTATATAAAACAATAACCGCCTTGACATTGGACAATCCCCACGCCATCCGAAGAACAAAACCTAGATTTCTGTAGGCTTTCATACAAATTTTGCTAATATGACTGTGGAAATTTAGATCATTTTTGAAGTGTACCCCCAAGTCTTTCACTTCAGTTAATCGGATTAGAGGTATCCCATCCACATGATAATCGTACATGATCGGCCTGTGAGTTCTAGAGAAAGTGATCGTATTGCATTTTGATGCGTTAAATTGCAAAAAATTACACTTACTCCAAGCCACAACCCGATCAATATCTCTTTGCATTTCTTCACAGTCTTTATTAGTTTTAATAGACATATATAGTTTCATGTCGTCAGCGAAGAGAAGACATTTAGCGTTGTGAACGACTGCAGGTAAATCATTTAGCATTATCGTGAACTGCAACGGCCCTAAATTGCTTCCTTGCACTACTCCCGAATTAGTGATATATGGCTTAGAACTATGCCCCATATACTCCACATATTGCTGCCTTTCGGACAAATAGCTTACAAAAAAGCTCAGGAAGTGCGGTGTTAATCCCACCCTTGCCAATTTTGTTAATAGGACATCGTGGTCCACCAAATCAAAAGCTTTTTTTACGTCAAAATATGCACTATCTACTTGGCCCCTATTGTCAAGTTCTGGTACTATATCTGCCACATAACTTAGGAGATTGCTCGTGGTGCTGCGACCTGGTCGAAATCCGTGTTGTGCCTCAGATAGGTATGGAGTAACCTGTGCCAAAAAGCTTCGCTGAACTGCTGATTCGAATACTTTGGCTGGCGCTGATAGTATAGCTATAGGTCTATAGCCCTCTGCAGTATCAACGTCCCTACCTTTGGGAATGGGAATCACTCGACTAATTTTCCATCTATTAGGAAACGTTGCATATTTTAAACTCAGATTATAAAAATGCAACAGCGGATCCGCCAGTACTTCCCGACAGTCTCTAATTATAAAGGGGGGGTACAATATCTGGCCCAATAGATTTTTTAGATTTAAGTCGCCGCAGCGCATATCGTACCTCACTTAACTTCAGCTGAGGTATCTGTATTCTGGCCGCTTCATTTCCAACACCAGCACCTGTAATTGCATCTTGAAGACTGAGTTTAGGTTTTTTAGGGCTATATACGGATTCAAAAAAGGACGCAAATTCATTTACGCTTTGCTCTGCTGTTAATTCTTCTCCGTTTTTTCGGAGACCTATAGACTTGCGATCTTTCCTGCTACTATTTACGAACTTCCAGAATGATTTAGGATCATCGATCAAATTAGCCTGTAGACGATCGCGGTAAGAATTCAGTGCTAAGCTAATTGCTTTTTTTACTTCCGCCCTACAATCACTAAACTCTTTGTATGCTTTTACAGACTTGCTCTTTTTGTACTGCTTATGCAGTAATGCCTTCCGTTTTATTTTATGAATAATATCTGCGTTAAACCACTCTGGATACGAATATTTAGAGCGGACCCTGCTCGGTTTTTTTCGGGGTACACATTCATCAAATATTGAATATATTACGTTATAAAAATAGTCTAAGCACATATTAAGATCAGAACCGTAAACAAAAGACCAGTCTACTTCAAATATTTTTGAGTACAAAGCATTAAAATCTGCCTTATTAAAGTTCCAACCCGAAAAAGCACAGTGCGTAGGTTTCGCACAGTCAGTAAACCTATCCGTGGTACGACGAGCAGGCGGGCGCAGCGACACGAGCAGAGGGGGGTGATGCGCGTCTTCAGTCACCAGCGGCTCGTTGGCCGCGCGCACCTCTATTTCGCGCAACTCATTAACGCTTAATACCAAATCCAACTTGCGATTATTTACATTACACACGTTATTGCGCTGGGTGAATCCACAATAGTTCAAGAAATAATTGTTATAATAATCTAATACATTTAAGGGACATGAATACAAATTAAAATCTCCTATAACTAAAGTGTACCTATGTTTACAACAATGTTCCTCGATATACTTAAACAATAACATATATTCATTTGTATCACTATTCGGTGGTATATACACTACGCACATTGATAACAAAAACCTATTTTTCAAATAAACATTAGCACAAACGAGTTCGAAAGATCGCATTGCAATGTCCAATTCGTCCGGTAGCGGTACTCGTTGCAGTTTCAAGCGCGGCGTGGCCACGAGACAGGCGCCTCCCAGCTTACGCCCGTCGGAGCGATCGCAGCGGATCACTGTATAACCCGTAGGGATAAGTTCCGCGTCTGCGATGGACTCCGTGCATCCCGTTTCTGTTATCGCGAATAAATCGGCCTCTGAAGACACCACACTTATATAGAAGTCTTGCAATTTTGTCCTCAGCCCTCGAACATTTTGATAAAAAACTTCAATCGGGTTACTCTTGACTTGATGTAAGGGGCGTCGTTGTGTCACGAAAGGGCGGATTGAGTCGCGTTTGAGACATTCCAACAGGTTTCGTAGTACGTGCCTTCCAGATTTTTATTTTAGCGTTTATTGGCCACACTTCGGCGGACAAACAAGTATCAAAGCAAATTGCCGGCACTTCAATCTTATAGGATTTGTAGTTACCGCGTGCTTTCAGTTCTTCGACCACACATACACTTCCTGGACATAGTTGTTGAAGGTAGCCCCTAACTTCTTCCACGCTGGACTCCATATTCCAAAGGTGAAGAAACCGACGGGGCTGAACAGCTTTCAGCGTGGTGACACTGGGACTAGCCGCGCCGCACACAGTAGTAGGATGTTTCTTCCTTTGCACAGGTTGCAGTTCATCCGGCTTATAATTCGGCGAAACCGAGTTTTTACTACTTTTTTCCTTCTCCTTTTCTAGTGATTGTAAAGAGGGAATAGGTGTAGTTTTCTTGTTATTTTTATTTTTATTCGCATTTTTTAATTTCGATTTTTTAGAGACCAGTTGCACATTTTCTTTTGTAATAATTTTAGGATGTACAGGACAGTTATCCGGTTTTACTTTTTCGAAAATTGAAAATATACGATCAGAGTAGGCATCTATCTTTACTTCACAACTATGTATTAAGGATATAGCCGTTTCTAAGTGATCTCTTAGCATCGAAACTTCTTGCCGCAGATTACGTATTTCGGCCGCATAGTCTAGCTTCGAGGATTCGACCGCTTCTTTTTCCGTTGTTTTCTTGCGAACCGTAATATTCTTGGAGTCACGTTTGTTGCTAAAGGTAATATTATTTTCATTAGTCGCCATATTCTGCGAGTTACTATGTTCCGTTTCCATAGATAGGTTTAAGCAGGAGCAGTTCATAGTGATAAGTGCTCTCTCTCGATACAGCCGGCAGTTCACGCACAGCCGGTTCACGCACGGCGCGTGATTCACGCGGACGACGGTAGTTTGTAATAATAATTTTATTTATTTTTTCTTTTTTTTTAACTTTGTATATTTTTATTGTTTGTTTGGCTTGTGAAGCCGTCCATTGCTCTTCATTCTAACATTGCGTTTCATTTGTATTTTTTGAGCAATAAATGAATTAATACCATTAATTGAATTCATTAATAGTCACTATTCCATATCCTGTCTATGTATTTTCCTACTACGAGTAACATTTTTAAATGTACACTTTACATAACTGTACTTAACCTGAAGTTACATAATAATATATCTTATATTTTAGGCAATAGTAGTATCACGTATTACCGCAATTACAAAATGATTGTAACACGCTAATTCAATTAGTGAGTGGTTCAGAATTTCGAATAATCGTAATGTTATTTATCAATATGCACTTTGATATTTGCCTTATACGATGAAAATTTCATTATTGATACAAATATTACGTCAATGCGTGGTTTTACTAACTGGAAATATGTAATTTATTTATTCATAATTAGTTTATGCTGGAAATAATTTTTGGTGTCCGTTAAAGGGCGTTAGTTTGACTCTGGGCTCCTAAAAATTTTTTTTTTAATATTTGCTGAGTAAACATTTAGTTTGATAAAGCCGACGACTATTATAAATTTAAAATAAATAAGGCTCCCAGAGGCAGAATGGCCTAATTGAAAACATGATTTTCAGTAAGAAGGAGAATAAAAATGCTTAATTAATTCAGGCGAAAATGAATTTGTACTCTTATTTGTGTAAGAATAATGTTAAATTTGACTGTGTAACATGTGTACTATTCGCATTAAAGATTAACATTTTCAGACTATAATATAAATAAGTCAAGTCATAAAATAGCAGTTAGGCTACTCTGCCTCTAGCGGTCTCAATTAATAGTAGTTCTTCATTGTACGTAACGTGTACTTGAATGTCGCTTATATGTTACCGTAGCCTCATTTGTAAATCATACGACTTGTATGCTTTTAAAATAGTGCATATTAGCTGTAATTAATTAGCTTTAAGGAAGTGAATAAGTTTTAACTTGTTTGAAACTTTTGAATTTTTTGCAATCATTATAAAATCGATATTTATAATTAAAATAAAGGTTAATTACTATGGTATTAATTAAAACTAGAATTTTGTTTTAATAGTAGGTAGTGTGTGTGTAGTTAAAAAAATGTACTATTAAATACATTAGAAATAATGTTTATCTATATTATGTTATGTTAATATTGATTATTATTAATTTTAAATGTGTATACAACGTCTCTTGAGATTCAAATTACAAAATAAAGGAGTTTTTTTATAAATCCAGAAGTATGACTTTAATATTAAGTAGCCAAATTATAAAGTGATAGCCGAGTGACGCGGAACTTTTCAAAGCAATTTTCCTACGTGACGTTTTCACAAGTTGCCGCCCGCCTTAACTTCAAAGGAGCATAGTGTAATATAAACAGTAAGGAAATGAAGGTATAATAATAAATATAATATAATATAATAATATAATAAATATCTTATGCCGGCTTCAGACTCTCGTGAGGCGCCTCCTAGAGGCTCTCGCCACGAGTCTTGGCGAGCGGAGACTGCACGAGTGCTAGTCATCCACACTCTCCATTTTATTTAGTTAGTCGTTACGTCTAGTGCAAGATGGACGGCAGCAGTCAAGAAATAAGTAAGCGAGCGGGAGAGTGTGGTCGACTCCCGCGCCTCACTCTCTCGCGTTCTTTGACTCGCGCTCGAAGTACCGACAGAAAGCGGAGCGCTAGAGAGGCGAGGCGAGGGGACACGAGCGCACCGTCCACAATCTCGCACTCGCATCCCCTCGTATCGCCTCGTAGAGAGTGTGGATCGGCCATTATGTGTATAATGCAGGAAGACCTAAATTTAAACTCCTCACAACCTACTAGAAAGACTGTTCCAATCTAATTGGTATGTCTTTCTAAGACTAAAATATTCTAAAAACGTTTTAGTTTGTTTGTTTTTTAGTTATGATTTTTTATCATAATATTATATCTAATCTCGTCTTATACGTATCGAATTCATTCGAGAGTCTATATTTAAAGATATTGTTATATTAAAGAAATAAAAACTATATTTTAAGTTCAATTCAATTCGATTAATTACAGATACTGATGAATACCACCACTCCTACTGTTAGCATTACTCTGTAGAGCTGATCGTCGAATGATTATTATAAAGCCTCCTTAATAACCACATTCAAAGCCGCTGATGTGTTGATAATTATCAACTCTTCGACAATTTTGAATACTTCATTACAGCGATAAGATTAGAATATCGACTTAATAAAGAGAATGCTAAATAAAAGGAATAAGTATTTGGCGAAACTGGCCGGGTCCTTACAGAATTTAATAACGGTGTCTTCGCGTTTACCGGTATACTGTTTATTGGGATCCAGAGTCCAGGAAATCATTTTCAAATAAGTTTAACTAATATATCGCGTTTTAAACCGTTAAAGTGTTTTTATTTAAATGTGTACTACTCGCGTAAACTATATACAGTATTTACTTATATATTTATTAAATTAAAGATTGAATCGAGAAAAAAACACGTAACCCTTGCTTTGAAAAATTTTAAAATTCGGTTTTAAATACTATTCGCCTTTTAAGCGGGAAATTCCGTTTCCCCTCTGTTATCTGTTTCGCTGATCGGTTTTATTTACAGGCAAGTAGTTTATCAGACTTCAGTGTCCTGCCCGACCGAAACAATTTACTGTTATCCGGGATTCGAACCCAGGACTACTCTCGCTTAACGCAATGCTAGGCAACACGTTTAACCATTTAGCTATGGAGGCGGTCCAATCTTTAGTTTACGCGAATAGTAAACATTTAAGTAAAACATTTTAACTGCTGCCGCAAAGCAACCGCAACGTCGGGCCGTAGTTAAAATGTAAGTTTAATTAATATATCGCTTTTTAAACTATTAAGGCGTTTTATTTAAATTATCTATTAGTATAGATAGATATAATTAGAGGAAAAAGACATATAAATTCACATAGTTCTAGTTTACGTTTAAAAATAATGTCCTGAAATGTACTACAATTACACAAATGAAAAGAATAAATTTAAACAAATGAAAAGTATGAAAAAATGTTTTGTTTTCGTTTTATGAAATCCGCGCTTTACAAGTCGATAATAATTTTGAGTATTATAAAAATTTCAATATACTCTTCATTTGTATACAGTTATTCATGTGAACGTACGCGCGGTTCATTTATATCCGCTGCAGATGTAGGGTTGTCAACTTTGAGAAAAAAAATCTTGGAATAATGTTTAGTAAGAACAACAACGATATAATGATTCAAGCGTTTAAATCGTGGAGAACTTTATCAATCATTTAAGTAAAACACTGTATCGCTTTAAAACGCGTTATATATTAGAACTAACTTGATTATTTTAACCTCGGCCCCACTTTTTGGATGCTTTGCAGCAGCCATGGTCACGGGGAGACTTATCAATCTTTCTTTACAAGCAGGAGACATTGAATTAACAATCATTGTACATATAAAAAAAGTCAAAGTCAAAAATCATTTATTCACATGTATAAACGTCACACCAGTATAAAATTCTAAATCTAAATTTTCAAAAAGATTGTGACATTCTTGACTAGACAGAGTAGTATAATACTAGATCAACGCGGACAACGAGCAACATTGTTGAAGTCTGAAAATAATTAAATTTCAAAGTGACAGCCCTACGAGTAAAATTCATTCAGCAATGGCTCATTGTTTCAAAACTAGCACGGTACGTATGAATGGGTGGATTTTCGACGAGTGTATTACTTTTTATCTCCATTGTTTTACATTTATTTGGTATTGGGGAATGAAATGCTTCATACTGAATACGCAAAAATCTGTGGATAATAAAGTTATGGTTAATCTATAAATAAGTACACTAGGTGGCTCCAAAAAAGACCATACGCTTTTCGTCGCTATGCAAAGTAGCTGTCTTTTTTTAAAACCATTTCTCGAAATTAAGAAATTCGTTCTCCATTTTGCGCAAGAGTCGATGACATCATCAGGAGATGTTGTATTCCTTGACTAAGCGAAGAATGTCTTCTTGTGTGATGTTCTCGAGGAACCAATTTATAATTATTTAGACCAAACAAACTAAAATTCATTTAAGATTGAAAAGAATTCATGACACGGGCAGTGCTTGACACACTCCACACAGCTTGATCCACAGCGTTTCGAGCTGGCGCTCTACACGTCATCGTCGATTTTTTTCTTACAAAACCTTTGTAAAATAGCCTTCTACAACTTGTACAGAATTTGTTTTCTTTACACAAAAACCGCTCTAAAGAATTAAATCTTTTTTCACAGAGTTTCCACTCGGAAAGATTCACTAGATACTATAGATCGTGTACCGCGAGTCTAAGAAATTGTGTGAAAGCTAATTATTGAACTCGGGAACGCAATATTACATAACTTCTATAATTAAAAGTTTTACGCGTAACCAAACTCTGTGTTAATATGGATATAATGTTACCGTTATTTTAGGTTTGGAAACACAAAAATAAGTTTATGAAGTTTGAAAACATTAATATTTTTCACTTGTTATTGCTCATGAAGGCACTATATAATTTAAAAATCGAAAATAATTGAAAAAATCTTTGACTCGGGCAGAACTTGAACCAGCATCGTCAGCGCTCCGTGCTGTTGCTCTCAACACGGTAGTTCAATTGGTAGAGCAGCACCACGGAACGTTGACGACGCCGATTCAAGCCCTGCCCGAAACGAATTCTTTTTTTAATTTATTTCCGATTAAATAAAACACTTTAACTGTTTAAAACGCGATATAGGAGTGGTCACGGGGAGACCGTCTCAAAGCAAAGCATCCGAAACGGGCCGAAGTTAAAAATCATTTTCAAATAAGTTTAACTAATATATCGCGTTTTAAACCATTACAGTGTTTTATTTAAATGTGTACTACTCGCGTAAACTATAGACAGTATTTATTTTCGATTTTTTTTTAAAAGTTTAAGCCAAATTCAGAAGACGAAATAAACAGGAATTACATGCACCAACGCTATGACGTCAGTCAGCCTAACTGCAATTTTATGACTTGTGTTATTTATATTTTTATAGTCTAATAATGTTAATCTTGTAGATTAGCACAGTGACAGAAAATTGTTAACATAATTCTTACACAAATAATATTCCCAAACCAAATTCGCCTAAGTTATTGAAAATCATGTTTTTTGTTATTAGGCCACTCTGTCACTAGCAGCCTAAATTGTTCTCCTGATGACAGAAGAGAGTTATTAACTAATTGAGATTGTCGATGACCGATTTTGGTTCTGGACATTTATACACAGGCTCGTTAATATAATGGTAGCAATAGACACGCGATCAAAAGGTCGTAGTTCGATAATGTTTCTAATCAATGTATACCTTTACTGAAATACGGTGACTTCATCTGGAAATCCTGGAAATAAATGGGGAGTAGAAGTTATGGACATTCGTCCGAGTCACGAGCCACCGTCCATAGATAAAAAGCAGTTCGGTTTTAGTTTGTGCATTTCCGAATATCTAAAGCTAAAATAGGTTGAGAGTGTATCGGAAAAATCAATATGGGAAATTGATAATCGTTAACGGTGTTGTTAATCTGTGCACTACATTTTTCCAAATTCTTTAAGTGTCAAAACAATAGAAAAATCCTATAATAAAACTTAATTTCACAATAAAGTATATTAACAATAAATTATCACAATACAATTTTAAAAAGGTAACGCGCAAGAAACAGCAACAGTAAGCTGATGATAAATCCGTTCCAGATGAGTAATAGTCGAGTCGTTCACCTCCTTTCTAAGGATATTTTAAAATCATCTGCAGCGCGCATCATGATAGAATATTCACTGTCTATGTGCGGCACTGGGCCTTTTTCTACCTCCCCCATTATTTTGTAAAGACGAACCATAGATGCAATGGCAATTTTTACCGACTGCAACGCGTATTGATAACCTGAAACAATGAATATAACAGCTCGTCACGATCTATTAGGTGATAACAAAATGTAAATCTTAATAAAAATTATAAGGATTCCAGCAATAATATTCTAGTCAATAAAATAAATATTGTTTCTATAAAACAAATGTGTATTTCGAAAGATTCCTACTACTGTGGAGAAAAAAAACTTAGAAGATAATTTCTTGAAATCCAATAAGTAAATAATGCGTATAGTTTAACCGAGTAGTACACATTTAAATAAAACACATTATCGGTTTAAAACGCGATATATTAGTTCTCCCCGTCGCCACGGCTGCTGCAAAGCATCCGAAACGTCGGGCCGAAGTTAAACATTATTTTCAAATAAGTTTAACTAATATATCGCGTTTTAAACCGTTAAAGTGTTTTATTTAAATCCAATAAGTGCATAATATGTTACATATACTGATAAAGGCTAAAGAAAAAGCGTGAGCTACTTACCAAGACAGTTCCGTGGACCCAAGCTAAAAGACGCGTAATGAAGCAAATTTTTATCCAAAAATCGATCTGGTCTAAAACAGTCTGCATCTGGACCCCAAACCTTTGGGTCCCGGTTCATTCCCCAAAGCGAAATTATACATTTAGTGTCGATTGGAAGAACTACACCTGACGCTAAAAATAATATTAGATAGTAATAACAATGCATTTAAAAACATCAGTGTTAACTAAAATAAAAAAGATGTTAGGATATTATTAATCTATACAAATATATAAAGCTGAAGATTTTATTTGTTTGAATTCAATAATCTCAGGAATTACTAGTTCGAAATGAAAAAAATATTTTTTGTGTTGATTAGAGCGTTTATCGAGGAAGCTGTAGGGCTATAAAAGATCGCGACGCGACTTATAGTCCAGTCATTTTAGCTATTTTAAACCCCAATCTGCGGAAAAAAAACGGTTGATTCTACAGAAAAATGCAAGAGACATTTTTTATGTACAATTTCACGACAAACAATTTTTATAATGACCTTAATTGACCTCTGAGCAATAGATCGCGAGATATTTGCGAAAAACTGATTTCCGTGACCTTTTGACCTTTATAACTTTTTTAGCCGGCACGATATCAATGTCGATTTTTCACATCTTCATTACAATGCCGTAATAAAGATGTATACAAAAATTCAGCTCACTAGGAATTTTTCTGCAGATAAAACCTAAAATGACTGGACTATTATAGGAGCGAAGCGAAAAAAAAACGGGGAAACATTCATCTTTGTGAGTTTCCGATGCGTACTCTACGAAAACGGTTCTAGATACCTAAAAAATATAAAGAAAGAATTATTTTTATTTAAGTCTAAAAAAAGTGAGCCGTAATATATCATTTAATATTAACTTGCAAGGACGATGGGACGCAGACGACGTCACAGCTAACAGCTAAAATTTATAGACTTGAACAGGAGGTTTACAAATCAAATTTTGATGCCCAAAATAACTATTCTACGCGGACACAACTAGTAAAAATATATAATTACTTAGAACACACAAATGTTTCTTTTATTTTAATCAAAGTACCTGTTTCTAATTGATTTCTGGTATCGACTTTTTTATTTTTTTTAAGTCAAGGCTAATGACGAATTAACGACCTCGTCCAACTACAAATTGGCCAATTAAAATCAGATGATGCGAAACGTTTTAAAACATGGTTTTATACGTGTAAGTAAAACACCTAATACTCACGCAGTGTAACTTCTTCGTTTCCAGTTCTCCTCGCAACGACCGGTACGGGCGGGAAGAGACGTAAAGATTCCTTAATAAACATATTCAGATAGTTCAGTTGTAGAAGGTCTGCTTGGGTTAAGCGTCGATCACTGTCTCCGAAGACGGAGTACAATCTGTCAAAGTAAATATATTCTTGTAGAATTGTAGCTACATGAATTAAAAAGCGATAGTAAATTGAAAAAAATACGACTCAGACAGGACTTGAACCGGCATCGTCAGCGTTCCGTGATGGTTGCTTTAACTAATTGAGCTACCAAGTCAACTATAATTCTATTGTGCCATCATGTGAAAAATTATAAAGTTTAGAGTTTGTTTGTTTGAAATCGCCAATCTCAGGAACTACTGGTTCGAATTCAATTTCCAAAATTGCGTACGCTGCGATAACGGTTCAAGATATCCAAAAAATATGTATGAAAGAATCATTCCTCTTTAAATGATCCAAAAAAAAAGTCCGCGACAGTATATGTCTATCTCTTAAGATTAACTTACAAGAACAACGGGACGCGGACGACGTCGTAGATAACAGGGGAATTGCAACCAAAAATTGAAATCCAAAATAATTATTCTACACGTACGAAGTCGCGTGACTCAGCTAATATTAAATAGAATTGGTTACTACGACGTCGAAGGCAAAATTATGCATAATGAGTTTGATTTCTCCAATTTTAATAGCGAATATAAACAGCGAGCCAATTTTAATAAGGTGTCAAATTTGATTAAATAACGGTGATAAAAATTTCAGAGTAATAAAACATGTTATTTAAAACATGGAATGTAATCTCAATAAAAAACATAATTGAATTTATTACTCGTATGCCGTCGTCTTGGACATAGAAACATGTATTTTATATTCGTTTGCGTCTATCCATTCCACGACTGGATGCAGGTGACTTGCATTGAGAGGGTTAAAACCATGGAATTAGTAGTAATAGAATTAAACTGTTTAACGTCCTCTCCGAAGCGAGGGTGTGATACCACCTCCTACTGGCAAACTACTAACTGGTAGTAAAGATGAAGAGGAGGTCTACAAAAACATATTTGTATGCCCGAAATAACTATTCTACGCAGCAGGGTCGCTGACATGGCTAGTTCTAAATATGATTGGTACTTACTCTTTATATATCTTCTCTTGTTCTTCTGGATACTTCGATAGCAGTACTAATGTATAGCCAATAGCAACAGCAGAACTATCTGTTCCTGCTAATAGCATCACCATGATTTCTTCTCTCAACTCAGTGTCGTTGAGACCATTTCCTTCTGCACTTAATAACATCAAATGATCCAAGAAACTCATATCCGCGTCAGAACCTGTTTGTGAGTTTACTTCAATAAAATATCTCAAAGATAATTTGATGACTATGATTCAAAAATGATTGATTGGCAACACTAAGGAATTTGACGAAATGAAATCGAAAAAAAAAACTTTTGGAAGATACAATGTTTTCTAAATAACTTAATGAAAGGTCGATAAACCAAATTTTAATATTCGACTATTAACTGCTTAAACCTGATATATAGGCAAATTTATTTTAGTGTACGACCCGCAGTTTATGGTTATGGTTTGTAGCATCTATATGTAGTGTATTCATATAAAAATCAAGCGGATTTTTATGTTAAAACTGATTAAAATATGTTATAATTACCGAAAAGAGTGTTGTTTTCATTGGAATTTCCATTTTCCATCTTCTTCCATGCAGTCTTACGTTTCTCTTTGATAATCTGAAACCATGTATGTTTATAGGCATAAGTTGTAAGCAAGATCAAAAAAAAAAGGAATTTAAAATGAAAGAATAGAATAAAAAAGTGTTTTAGATTTATTTAATAAATTCAATTAACCTACTTTAATTTTATAGGTATATAAATAAATTGTACTGTGCTTAAACTAAGCGATAAAGAAGGAAAAAGATAACAAATATTTTTTAATATAATTTTAAATAAAACAATAAATGTTTATACCTCTTCTGGTAAGCTAAACAAAGTCTTCTTAACCGTTTGAAACCTTGCATGCAGATCACTGTATTTGTATAGACAATCTGGCCAAAGCCACATATGCAGTATCCTTTCTGATACTAGAGAGAATGCAGCCCCCACAGCCTTCAAAAATGGTAGGTCAGGATTCTTTAGGGCATCTATTTTCACACCTAAAGATGTTTCTAGAATAAAAGTGAGATGTCAAAAACATTGTAATATCAATCAGAGGAAAAAAAAATTTTAATTTTCAAACTTTTATGACTTCTGTAAAAAGAGAGATTCCCCATACCCGAGAAGAGTGATTATGTTAAATACGGTTTGTAGTTTACGCCAATAGTACATATTTAAATAAAACACTTTAACGGTTTAAAACGCGATATATTTTAGTTAAACTTGTGTTTAGTGATTTTTGATTTCATGTAAACTGTTTTGACGTTCATATATTTTTTTATTAGGTGAGTAATTTTCTTTATATGTGTGAGTAACTTTTATTTAAAATGTATGTTAGGTATAAATGTAGTGCTATGCCGCTTAATAAAAAGAAATACTTTTATGTTCACAACCGCTTTTCAAAATAGGAAATTAAATACTCATTATTTGATACTTACCAGCAACTGATCCCAGTGTATAAGCAGTAATGTAGGGCCAGACACTGAACTCTTTGGATCCAACGCAACCATCTATCTCCAATTGCTCAGCTAAACGACTGCCTTGCTTTGACTGGATGTCCACGAAGCTTTTTAGTACCTTTGGTCCAAAGGCTGGGACTAAGAGCTTCCTTCTGCGCGTCCATTTGGACACTAGGCAAATAGGGTACTTTTGTCAACAAATTTATATAAATACAGACGGGGGGAAAAAAAAAGGGGGGGGGGGTTAAAAATGTTTTAATTTTTCAATTTATTTTGAATTATCGTCTGGAAATCTGTTTTAAGGGTGACAATACAATTGTCCCCCCGGTCGGCAACCACCGTCCACAGATGACATAAATGGAAATAATCACGTTTCGGTTTCAGACCTAAAATTTTCTAATTTCCAACATATTTACACGGAGAATTTTAGTTTGCAAAAATCTCCCATTTAAAGAATTAATTTCATGTACACAGTTGACCAACAGGGCACAAAGAAGAAGAAGAAAATATAGAGCTACTTGCGTACCCGATGTGAAAATTCCAGCACCGCCAAAGATCTCTCCGAAGAAGTCCATCAGGTCGTCCTTGTGTAGGCAGTTCTTTAAAATATACTCGACATCTTCACGATGCGTCATAACTAAAACATAATTATAATACAATTTAAATGGGCTGGTGTAATGGTAGCAACGGACAAATGATTCAAAGGATTGGATTGGAATTTAAAACGAGTGAATTTCCTTACCATATAAACATCAGATATATTTTTTTCGCAAGTGTTAGATCATATCGCAATTTTTTTAAGGATGTATCTAATTACATTAACACTTAGGTATTTTTGAAGAAACAACAAGTTATTTTTGTATTGAGGAACCTACTTATTTCAATTCTAATGAAGATGGACTATTTTTTGCGCCAAAAATGCAAATTGTCTGAATTTATTCACATTATGTAAATTCTATGAGTTCTAACGATCTTTTTTACCACAGCAGACATACATTCATTAATTTATTATCATATTAAAATTCATTAATTAGCCGAGTAATTATTTTAATAATTGTGATGGCAAAAATATATGTTCTATTTTTTATACATATTTTGTGTTGCATTACCGAATGGAGAGTATAAAACACTTTTGACGTTTAAAATTTTTTGTTTGTTGTTTGTGTTGTATGTTTTAAACTCTTAACAGTTTGAAACGAAAAATATATTAGTTAAAATGTAAACATATATATGTTGCGTTTTAAACCGTTTAAAGTGTTTATTTAAATGTATGGTACTCGCGTAAACTACAGACCCTACTTACGTTTGACGGTTTTAAAGTTAAACGCGAATTAATATTAATTTATTTAAAGATTTTTTTAAACTTAAAACATTTTTAATTTACTTATAGTAGCAGAACTGCGCTTTAGACGAATACAAGGATAAGTCAAGTTTTATTAGGAAATGCGGGAGACGGTAATTCAGTGCTATGAGCTGCATGGAACGCTGTGATCTGAGGTTCGATTTTTTTGAACGATTAACTACTACTACCAGTGAGAACTATTTAAATCCTTAATGGACACTTGAACGTCTTACATAGCTATATTTCAAATACATTTTGTGTTAAGAGTGGTTTTAACAAAAGGCATGTGGCTAATTATCAACGGGTCGTGGATTCAATTTCACCTAGTCCAACATGTTTGTAATGAATTTATAATTTAACTGAAAATTTTTGAACTTCATTTGGAAATTTGGATATTAAATGGTAGGAATATCGATATTTATTCTGGGTCCAACGTCCACAGATGAAAAAGCCCTTAAATTCGAGTTTCGGATTCAGTCTTTGGATTTTCTGATTACCAAAGCCAATATAGGACGATAGCGCATCTTGAACGTGTTAATAATTTAACACAAACACCAAAGTAAGAAACGAATTAAGGCAAACCTTATTTTTATCTATATAAATAAATAAATATATAAAAATAAAATAAGATTATAAAGGCTTTGTATTACAAATAAACTTACCAACGTATACATATGGATCCGTCATAACTCGTACTATACCATTTTTTTCAAATGCATAGAAGCTGTACTTTCTCAGAAGCGGCAAGAACACTGCAAAAAAATTCTTTCATATAGTCTCATCGTGCAAATCTGGGATGCAAAGATTGTACTAAGCACTAGTAGTCACTATATCGGGATTAACATATGATTTGGGTCGGGCAGAGCACCAAACACTCATCGACTACTTGCGGACAAAAAATGGTTCTCGTGATGCCCCATACAGGGAAGGCAGACTTTTGCTTTTTCATTTTGTTCATTTGCCCCAGCTGTCTCAACACTTTATTAATATTCAAACTTTAAAAGTGAAATCCCCTTTCCCCCCATGGTGTATGGGGGCGAATGCATTTATGTCTTCGTTTCACTGATCATTTTATTTACAGACAAGTCTTTGATCAAACTTCTATCTCAACTGCGACAATTTAATATTTCACCGGGATTAAAACCCAGGACCTCTGGCTTTTTACGCAATACTAGGCAACATGTATTGTAATTTGGCTATAGAAAGATATTTTAATATTCCAAAAATTTTAAATAAATTATATAAAACTCAAATTATTTCAGTAGATTTAAACAATTTTACGTTAAGACTTTAAATTTTAAATCGAAGGATGCCCTTTTTCAAATGGTATTGTTGTTCCCCGAAATTCAAACCGAGGATTGAAATCATCTGTAAAATATCTAGCGGTCTCAATTAGGCGTAAAATAGACAATTCTGAAATACCTTTAATTCCCTCTAACGTATATTTTGTCACACCGAAATTAGATGGCACATCGGGAGGGGTAGGTATCCTATAAGCTAGCTCGTATACGCGTCTTCGCTTGTACTTATACAGCGATATCCACAAACCAACGACAACCGTAAGCAATATTAAAAAAATCATGTCTGTTCTATACTAACTTACGAAGTACATTAAACCGAATGTTTGATTCCACTAAAATATATGCTGTTTAATGAGAGTTTTATTATTGCAAAGTAAATTGTACTTAACTGTAGTAGTTTTAGAGTTGTAAATTCTTTGCAGGGTGTGCATATAATTCACGATTTATTAGAATTAAACATTTTTTATCGCGTGATAAAAACAGGAATCTGATTGTTGAGAATAATTTGCGATTTTTGAGCGTATTTTATCTTCTACAAGATTGATCTTTTCACATTTTTTGTTTTACTTGACTTTTCTGTCTTTAAGCCTACAAAAATGCCCTTTATTGGTGTTATTGTACGGCAGTGAAGCATGAGGTTTACTTAGTGGAAGGTGAAACAACCCAGTTATATTACATTTCATCGAGCTGTTTTGGATTTGGATTTTCGGAAAACCACAGACTAAAACTGAAACGCAATTAGATTTCACAATTTATTTTATCTGTGGATGGTAATTTTGACTTGAACGGAATTCTGCTATTCTTATAATAATAATACGCATTTATTTCTTGACTTTTCATTATTTTGATACATTAAAACAGATATTTGTTAATAGCTTAGGATATGTTAGTCATTTAAACTTATGTATATATAATATTCAAAAACTTAGAAATCAGCAAGAACCCCGGTTTGGGTATATGCCTCCTCCAAAGATGACCATTTTTCTCGGTCTCGTGCTATGCAGCACCAGTCTATGCCAGCAGTTATTTTTCAGTCGTCTTCATGAAGTCCTGGTATGGTACCCATGTAGCAAAGTATAAAGGTATTCTTCTATATTGTTTCCCAGTAGTCGAACTTCAGAAATTCCTTTTACGTCATAATTTATTTTACTTAAACATTCTTCCAGTTCTAGTAAACGGTCGTATGATGATAATGTTCGGAAATTGTATGTTATAATTATTAGATTAGTGTTTGATTTTCTTTGTTTTTTTAACGTTTTTAGGATAGAGTTTGCCTCGAAGGTAGAGTTTGAGTTTTTAACCTTGGCAGGGTTAAGATCGTAATCTTCCTCGGTGACCAACCGGATTTTAATAAGTAGCTTTTTATTATGGAGGTTTGAACACCTTAAGAGATACTTTTTAAATAGCTCTCTATTTTGTAAGGTTAGGATAAGGCCTTCATTGTTTCCATGGGATGCCACGCTTTATTGTATTGTTCCGGACAGCTGGCGTTAGGTTTAAAGAATAGAAATATTATTGAGAGCATATAAATAAATAAATATTCATTATACTTAAAACATTGTAACACTTAAAGAGACCCTTTTTTTTATATCCACTTTAGAAAGGTACAATTTATTGACTGTGTTATATGGATAAGTTTCGTTACTTTAAGCGTTGATAAATGTAAGAAATCGTCACGCCGTAGTTTAAGTAGTTGCTCTGAAACAATAAAGTGTTTGTTTCCCATGAATCCGACGCCACGCTACACTCAATACCTGCAACCCATTTCTCTCTCTTATGACTGGAATACTGTACCATAAAAGAGGGCTCTGGGCCTGGGGGCGGGTCCAACTAGTTCGCTTCTAACATCGACACGGCACGCATCACGAGTACTTTGCCCATAGACGCCGCTCCTCTCACGGTTCGCGTCGCAAGTACTTCGCATTGTATTGATAGATAGTTAACGCGCCCGTTTAGACTTTTCGTTTCCATACTTTGTGCGCACAATAAAGGCGCGTAGCAGTAGCGTGGCAAAAAATATTATTTTTATTGAGATTTTGGGGGACAGGTAAATTCTTATTGAAATCTAGAGAGACGTCACATATCACAACAAAAATAAATTAAGTTTAAAAACACTGTAAAGTGTAAACTATCGAGGAGTTCTCTAAAATGTATTCTAATGATAGTTAACAGTACATATAATTTAGGCTCAAAGACAAGGTAACTCCTGCGAATCGTTGAGGAGTTCATTCGACTATCTATAAGATCCATCATCAGATCTACTCCAAAGCTTTACAAACGCAATCATCGTCTCTACGAATTTTAAAAGTTACCCTCGATTTTTCTTCTCCATCTGTGACCATCACACACTGATTCCCTTCTTCTTCCTTAACTTGAAAGCATCTTTTTTCTATCAAAACAGGAATCGTCAATATTGTTTTATAAACGCAGTTATGCGCAAGCAAATACGACATACGATTTGAGTTGAGTGAACGTTTTTTAAGTCAGTTGAAAATTGTTTTATAATATGAATAAATGTTTTTCATATAAAAATTAAACATAATTTATTTGCTTAACAATGGAGGTACTTTAAATAATAAATAAATAGTAAAAATTATGCATTCTAGTTTCATTTAGGTTTTTGCCATAACTCGATTAGAATCTCAATTGTTTTTATAAAGTAACGTATTTATATCTTGTTTTAGATACCATTTAATTACATTTTCCAAAAAAAAAATGCAGATTAAGAATACTGTTGTCCTGACTTTGTAAATAAATTACTTTAATGTATATAGCTGTGATGTATCTTAGACAAAAAAATTGCGTTAACAGACTATAAATATTATTTCATATTACACAATGTATGGGTAGTAATCAACGGGTCGTGTGTTTTCCCACCAAGTCCCGCATGTTACGTCTGAAAAATCTGACTATTAAATGGCTAGTAGGACTAATATAATTTCATCTGGGGTGACTAGGATTAAATTATAATACCACCAGTTATAAACATAGCTGTTCTGAAAGAAGGTCTGCGTTTCGATTGTAGTCTGTGGATTTCCGAATATCCTAAATGATCGACAGAGCTTCTGGTTTATATATAATATGGCTGGACTTTATCTTCCATCAAGGAGTTAGAAGCCTTATGATAATCTTGAAATAAAAGTCAATAATTACAATTTAAAACAAACGGTTCAATATTTATTGTTATTTTTTCATTAACAACGTTACTTTAAAGCAAATAAAATACTAGCGTTATCAGATAATAATTATCAAATGTCATATAAACATTGTGTGTAGTTTGAAAAAGGGTATAGTTTGATTTTGAATTGTCCTGAAAGAGACTCTACTACAGGTAGTTAATTAGACAGCTGCAGATCAGACTTTGCTTGCTCGACCAATATATTCCCGGGTTTCAAACCCAGGATTTAGATTCAATACGTTTAATTATTGAGCTAGAACTAAAGGTCTGAGCAAGCAATTAAAATGTGTTAAAACCTGACACACACGGTCTTAGTCTACGGATTACCGATTAATTACTTGACTGTCATTTATTTTTTTCATCATAATTTATAGTTAAAATCTGACGAGTCCGAAGGTTGACAAAAAACTTGTAAATAAGACACGTCTGTTATGACAAAGAAGGCTTATAAGACTTAAAGTGATAAAAAAATGTATTTAAATCAAGAAAAACTAAGAGTGTATTTTTAAATGTTAGTTTTTAAATACTTTTAGTTATTTCTGTTAACATCATACTTATCAAAATGACCATGGATTTATGTGTCGTGCAAGGTGATATGGATTATTGTACAAAAAAAATAACTCCCTATAAAACACAAGTTACATGACTCCATCAGATGCTTTACAATTTTTTACAACATTTACAATAGTAAATAAAATACCATACGTTTTTCCTCACTTTATTTATCATGAAAATATTTTTTCCTCTCGTATATTGAAAAATTTGGCATGTTTAATAAACAATTCTTAAAAATATGTACCCGTACACCTACTTTGTAATAAAATGTAAATTTTGCGTTGAATATTTTTTAAATTTTTTACCTGATTTTATGTTTTATTTAGTACTAACTCATTATAAGAAACGATTGTTTTTATAAAATTTAAATTTAGTATATCTTTCGTTAATTATAGCTTTAGCACGCTAAAATTATAAAGCTGAAGAGTTTGTTTACCTTAACGCGCTAATCTCATCACCTACTGGTTTGAATTTAAAAACAAAATTGTGATTTAAAAATCGAAAATTAATTGAAAAAAATCGACGATGAGGTGTAGGACTCGGTAGCTCAATTGGTAGAGCAACAGCACGGAAAGCTGACGATGCCGGTTCATGTCCTGCCCGAGTCGAAATTTATTTCAATTTATTTTCGACTCGGTTGCCTTCATGTGCAATAACATTTAAAAAATAATAAAGTTTTCAAACAAAATTGTGTGTCACTTTAGAGTTAGACCATGTATCGAAAAAATTTAAGCTGTAAAACATTAGACTACGACCAAACTAAACAGAGGAAATGTGTAAAAACGAGGGAAATTATTGAGCGTGTGCACCGCGAAAACGGTTCAAGACACCAAAAACTATATATGTAAGAATGATTCTTCTCTAAGTGGTCTAAAAATATCTGCAACAATATGTTTATCTCTTAACTAGTAAGAGCGACGAGATGGGGACGACGTCGTGGGTAACAGCCATAATTTATAAAACAGATGTTGCTTTCAAAAATAAATAATAGTAGCTAGCCAAAATAGCAGGGCTAGTCTTTTTTATAAAAGCCGTGTAAGTACTAAGTAAAGCCAATGCTAACCCTATCTGGCCTCATCTCCTCTGTTCTCGCACAGTATTTCTTCGTATCGTAAATCGCATGTTTAATAATAGAGACAGTAATATTAAAAGGTGTAACTGGGACTCGAATCTAATATTTACTACAATAATATATACTACACAATTACCATGTAAGCTACTCAAAGAATGTATTGATATTTTACCTATTATATACTTGTGTTTAGAATATGTCAATATATTTGTGTGTAGTTCAGCCGAGAACAATTTAAATAAAACACATTTAATAGTTTAATTAAATTTATCTACGGCCCGAAGGTTCCGCATGCTTTACAGCAGCCCCCCGTGACCCTGGCTGCGGAAAAAGTTGTTTTTTTTCTATTGCATTCTAATATACAATAAAGTGATGTCATATTTATCTTTAAATTTTTAATGTAATAATAATTTTAATAAAATAATAATATATTTTTTTATGGAATGAATAAATGAATACTCATGCATTCATTATAT